TTTTGCTTGAAGTTTAGATATTATACACTTTTATTAGCATGTATGCTATTATAGTAAGGTGTACTTGAATATATCTATAAAATATGTTTAACTCCTAACAACTAATTTTTTAAATCATTATTAATTGAACTCTTTGCATTATCAACTCTGTAGCATCTCTTACTTTGAAGCAATAATCTAAAACATTAGTATTAGGTAAAATTGATTAGAGCTTTTTACAAAACTACTATTTAGTAATTTATAATCTATTAAATTTTATGAATAAAGTATTGTTGCCATATGCATAGTTGGGGCTAGTATGTCTAATAATATATAATTTAAGCAGTTTGATTAATCCAAAATATTTAATAGTTAAATATTTTAACATAGTCAATTTGAAATTTATATATTAGTATAATGTGAAAGAAAAAGCTAGACCCAAATCTCAAAATTAGGCTTAATTCAGGCAATTTAAAATTTTTAGCCAAACCTGATCTTATAGTTTGGATTGGATAATAATCTGAATCTGTCAAATCTGGATTATTCAGAACACTAACTAAGACAAGCTAGGCTATAAAATGCTATTAGTGCAACTATCTAGAATAACAGATTATCTGATTCTTTAATATCTAAGCTATATCTTATTTTGTTTAAGTAGTCTCTTGTCATATTTATTTTTTGCTTTAATGGTTTATGTTTGAGGTTAGCTTTAATTATCTTAAGAATTTTCTTTACTAACAAGTTATATTGGTCTAGTGTCTTGTTTTGTGAGTTTTTATTATAAAAAATTTTAGTGCTAACAAGTAAGAAATGATTGTGGAAGAAGCAACCTCCTTGTTTATTAACTTTATAAATTTGATTAGTAAGTTTCTTAATATAGGCCATGCACTACTACCTAATATACTACTAATATTTATTAGCTAATACTTGATATCACTTAATTATTGCTTTAAATATTTTATGACTAAAAAGATTTGTGTTTAAAATATCTCTATTTGTTAATCTAAGAGTTTGTTGCTATTAAAAGTTGTCTTTATTTGATGCTTTTTGTTCTTTATAATACTAATTGGTATAAGGTTTTTTTATTTTTTCTCTCTTGACTTGTTAGTATATATAGATTTATTGTTGTAGTGATAAGATAAGAGAGATTGTATTAGCATATCCTATTGGAATGTCAGGTTGGAGATATCATGCCATGAGATTAGATACTTCTTATATTTGCATCTTGATAGTAGATTTGTATCTATGTTTTATTTTCCTAGTACTGTTGAATCTCCCAAAACCAGTACTCATAGTGGACAGATTTTGTATCGGTATTGAGAGGCTATCAGATTTGAAACTACTATAAACTATTAGATTTATATAACAGAAACAGACTTGGTAGAATAATTTTTTATCAGATTTGACAGGTTATCGATTTTGAGAGGATCGATTTTGGGAGGTTCAACAGTATATGTATGTTCTAATTTTAATGAAAAGTTCTTCTAAATTTATATTTTATAAATCTGTATAATTATATTATTAATTCTGTAGTTTTTGCAAAAACCTGAATAATAAGCTTCTGCATTAGTTATATTATCTGTTCATATAATTAGTTTTCTTCTTGTTCACAGTAGAGAGAATGTTTGAATTGCTATAAAAATTTTAAAAGTTCATATTCTTGAATATTATAATTTGTAATGATGTTTTGGCTAGACTATTTAAATGCTGTGAAGTACTTCTCAAATATGACATCACCCCAAAGTTTGATATATCTGTGTACAAGTTATATATATCTGGCTATTGCCATAATTGATTCTCTATTAAATAAATATCTGGCTATTTTTGTATTGTATTGATCTACTATTGAATATCTGCAGTCATTGGTGTAGTCATTCTTATATGGTGTTTTGAGTTCTTGATTGTCTTCTATGTCTTTATAAAACATTATATAAAAGATCTTTCCTGTAGAAACACCTAATGCACCTACATTAAAGTGCTACAAGAGATTGTAAGTCTTTTCTGTAGCCCCATTTTTTGTCTGCCCAGTTAGTTAGTGTATTATGTATTTTCTGCCTCTTTTTGAGTAGAACTGATACTATTATTGCTTCTGTGTTTATCATAATGTCTAGGAATACGTATAATGATACTTTTAATTTTGATTTCTTAAAAGGTACTTTCAATATATTCAATATGCGAAGGAATTGGTTGAGCTCTCTCTGGCCATCACCTTTTAAGATTATCAAGAAAACATCCATATAATGTATAATCGATCCAATTTCTTGTTGTGTAGCTATCTATGAAACCATGTCTGCAAATCTACAAAAAATATCTCTGGAGGCTCTATTTCCAAAAGCCAAAGCTTTATTAAAATATATATTCTTTCCACGCTTCATTTCTTGCAAGACTTGGTTCATGGAGTATACTAGTAAAATCCTATATTCATTTTTGATATCAATTTAGAATAGTATGCACTCTTTTCTATTTCTATTAGTCCATCTTATTGCGTGGCTCACATTTCATATTAGGTTATGAATTCTATTTGATCGATTCTATTATTGATGCTGGAGCCAAATAGTGCTGACAGGTGTGATATAACTCAAAATGTTTTAGGATTTTTATCCTTTTTCTCAACAAGTCCATATGGGTTTATCTGAAATAGTTTGTATAGTGAGTGTTTTTCTAAAATGATCCATATATTTTACCTTTTCTTATCTTATCTTGAATATAGTCTCTAAAAGATATCCTAGTGATTTTAGATTGGATCCTTTTTATTTGTGTGTTTAAAAAATTAAACCCAAACCCTTTGTGATTTATTTTATTAGGTATTTTATAATGAGATGATTAGGATGACTATTTGTTAACATTTTAAATACTTGAATGTCTATTGTAGCTTTATGTTAAATTACTAGAGTTAATTTGCAGAAGTATTTTGATCTCTTCTGCCATGAAGGGAATATCTCATAGAGGAATGCTAGTGAGTGTTTTATTAACTGATTGGAGCAATAGTAGTTTACATATCATTATGCTCTGTGAAAGCTTGTATTGGGCTATGTGGTGAAAGTTTTTTCTGTTTTTATCATTTAATCAATTTTTTTTTTAGATGAACATTTATCAGTTTTTCTTTTTTTTTTTTAGTTATCTGATATGTACGTGATATTAAGTAATATGATTTCAATTTTTTTTTTTTTTTAGTTATTTGATATATGTGTAATATCAATTATTGTGTATTGTTTTGATTTTTTTTTTTTTTTTTAACTGTGACCTTTAGTGTGTTCAGTTTGTCTTGCTTTTGGGCTGGTCCCAGCATTGTTGATAAAACATCTCTGCTCTTGGTAACCTATTTTCTTACATGTCAAACATGCATGTACAAGCCTGCATTTTTTGTCCTCACTGCAATTTCTTCGATTCCAGTTGATGCATATCTCTCAGCTATTATGCCATGTAGCATCAATCTGTAGTGCATGTGGCTTGCTAAACTTTGTTCTCCCAGTTGCCATTGCATCAAATTTTTCTCCTTCAGCTTCGATATTTTTGTTGAAAAATGTTGTGTCTCGATCCATTGCCAATGCTAAGCGGCGATCCTCATTGTCACCATAACAGCCATGAAGTCATATTTGATGCAGAGGTTATTAACATGGTCATGGCAAAAATTTAATTCTTGCTCTCATTCTTCATAAATTATAAGCACTATTTCGGGCATAAGATCTAAATACTAATAACCATTTGGATATATCACTGAACTTGCTATATGTTGGTTGTTTCTGAATAGTTATATAACCTCACTCTGATGTCTGTAATAGCATCTCTTCATGGTAAATTTTGTGTTTGCCTTTATGTTTTGTAAGCAAACTCCTGGAGTTCAATATAAGCACCAAATGCAATTGACTTCCATAACCATGATGTTAAATTTGGTTTTCCAGGTAGCATTTAAATTACTTTTTGTCATTCTGCCAATTTGACACCCACCAAAGCCTTTTACTTTCGATGCTGGCTGCTACTCAGTTTGTAAAACCTTGTACAGCCAGTAGTTGCATCAGTGTTGTGTAGTTTATTAATATATATTTCTGGGCTTTGTTTCTTGCTATTGATAGCTCATTTTTTGTGTGTGTTGGTGGGGTCGAAACGATTAACATATCATTATTGATTGGAGTAGGTGGATAATTACCTTGATCATCTCTTGTTTCTGGTGGTGATTCTATCGTTACTGGAGTAGCTTGGTTATTCTGTTCTTCACTGGTTGGGTCATCCCTTAAGTTTGTTCAATTGCTCATTAAACCGACTTGTTCTAGCTTGCTGAAGCGCTCGTCTATTGTTTTCTGTATTTGTTCATTCCAGCGTTTGAAACTTTCCATTCTTCGGGTTTAAGCACCACCGGGTCTGCATTCTGCTTGTTGGTTTAAATAGGTTTCGCACCTTCTTTGAGCTGTGGTTTCCCAGTCCCTTGTGCGTTGCTAACATATGTCGCTATGTGTCTTCATATGATGTTCAACTTTCAATCACTTTCCTTTCTTAGGTTGGCGCTTCGCGACATTCGGTGCTTGGCATGTAGTGGCGTCGACCGTGTGGCTGCATCGCTTTTCGATCACGTGATCCACTATCACTCCGCATTAATCACGTTCCTAAATCGGTACAATTTTGGTTTTTTTGTTACACTAATATAAATACGTATGCATGCAGCAGAATTAATAAGCTAGTCAATATCGGTAAACAATTGATGTAGCTTTTATATTAAACATCCTTCGCTAAACTCCGGACAATTAAAGTATCTATTTTATACGTATAGAACATGAAATTTTTTGCTTTCTTTAAAAAAAAAAAGGACTCAAAACAACTCCGTGATCTTGGTTACAATTATGGAAATGGTATTGGCGTTAAGAAAGATGAAAAGAAGGCTTTTGAATATTATACGAGAGCAGCAAAGTTAGGAAACACAATTGCGATGCATGATGTTGGTCTTTGTTATCAATATGGAATTGGAGTGGAAAGAAATTACCAGAAAGCATTTGAATATTATAAAAGATCTGCTGATTTGGATAATGTTTTATCAATGTGTAATGTTGGTATTTGTTATGAAAATGGGATGGGAGTTGATCGAGATTATAATAAAGCATTTGAATATTATAAAAAGTCTGCGAATATGGATAGTAAAGTAGCAATGAGTAATGTTGCTCGATGTTATCGAAACGGTACCGGTACAAAGAGAGATATTCAGAAGGCAAATTATTGGTTCGAAAAATATAGAAGTTTTTTAAAAACTAATAAATCACCAGATAATATCAATCCTGAGCTTAAGAGAATATTAGACGATGAGAGATTTAAATTATCTTGGATCGATTATAACGAGTTCAGAGACATTGTAGAATGGGGAAAAGGAGGATTCGCCACCGTATATTGTGCAACTTGGTTAGATAGAATTAATAATGTATGGTGGGATGTTGCACTTAAAGTAATTCATGATTCAAACAAAAACGAGCAAGAATTTATCCAAGAATTGAAGAACTACTGTGAAATTGGGTACGAAAATCCTTCGTTCTTGAACTGTTATGGAGTATCAAGAAATGATAATGGTGAATATATTATTGTTATGCAGATCGCACCAGAAAATTCGTTACGACAAAATCTTGTACAAGTATCAAAATCAGAATGGAAAGATAAATTGAATATCTTGTACTGCATAGTTTTGGATCTCGAATCGATTCATTCGCAGGGACTTGTTCACGGAGATTTACACAGCGGAAACATTTTGCAAGAAAGGTTACATAACGCATATATCACTGATCTTGGGCTTTCTAAAAGAGTCAAGGATGGAAAAATTTGTGGAATTTTGCCATATATAGCACCTGAGGTTTTAGTGGGTCAAACGTATACTCAAGCATCAGATATTTACAGTTTTGGAGTTATCGCGACAGAGATTTCAACCGGACAAAGAGCATTTGATGGAATTCCATTTAATGGTGATCTTGTATCAAGAATCATTGATGGAACAAGACCTAAATGTTTAGGACCAGAATGTTATATTAAATTAGTTATGAAATGTATGGATAAAGATCTTGATAAACGACCTACTGCAACTGAAATTATTGAAATTATCACTCATTGGTTAGATGAAATAGACCAGAAAAACGATAATGAAATCAAAAAACAAATTTTGGAAGCTAATAAGGTTAAACCAGAACAGATTAAACAAATACATTCTCAGAACGTATATACTAGTAAGCTATATGATACGAGAAAATTTTCGGAATATATTAGTAAACCGCAAAAATAGAGCAAATTCTCAAATTTATATTTAAATTAAATTATATAAAATATGCGTTTATGTATCCTGTACTTAATAAGATGCAATTATAGTAATTTTTTTCTTAGTTATCAAAAATTTCTACACAATTTTATCTCTATTATGTTACAGAAATAAATAAAATTTGGCTATTGTTATCATCTAGTGTTTGGATTCGTCGAACAAATCCGTTGGATCATCCGCAATGGGTTATGTAATAACGGTAATAAAGCATTTTGCTAAAAACAGTGACGTAATGTTAATTATTAAGAAATAACAAAAGGTTTTTTCGGGTGAATGATTAATTTCTACTTCATTATTTTTACTATAAAACTCTCGAGTGCAAATAAATTGTGATAACGAAGCAGAAAAAATAAGTAACGAGCTTTTAGGAAAATTAGACCTATAGTAACTTATGTAATTGAAAGTACCTGAATTAGTGATTTATTAAATAAAGAATTCTTTGTATAAAAATGTTAATGTTTTATAATATATAATATAAGTCACTCTCATTATAATAAATGATCGATTCTATTAGTAAATACACTATAACAGAAAATTTATATAAATTAGTTTTAAGTCAGACCTTACAACAACTATTTTTCATTATATTGAAAGTTCACCATTACGAGAGTGACTTACATATCTTTTTTGTAGAAATACATTTCAAAAAAAAAATTACAATAAATTCACCGGATTCAACAAATTTTATCGATGGCCGAGCGTAAAAATATAGCTGTTTGAGCTAAAGAAAAAATAGTCAGATATCTACGGTTGTTTCTTGGGAGTATTAAATCATTATATCAATTTTGAATCTCTCTCAAACATCATTTGAAATCTTTATTTAACTTTTATGTAAGTATAAATTTTAATTTAAAATTATTGAGAATAAATTTTTGTAAAACATTATTTTAATTTCGTTTCAAATTAAATATTGGAAAGCTATGATATCTACATATTTAATTATTCCCTAAATCATTTGCATGCAAATTTCTGATTCCCTAGTACAACTTACATAGATCGCAATATAAGTCTAAGTGACATTATTACTGGCTAAACAACTTGAATAAAGCTTTTGACCAATACTATTTATAACTATTTTTAACGGCGTCTTGTCTAGAGATTGTATCCGTCAAGATAATCTCTACCCGGGTATTATATTATAGCTATATAATAAAAATGTCTACCTGAGTATAATCTCTAGCCTTGTCTTTTTCTTTTAGCTTGGTGAAATAACCCTTGTAAAAGTATCATCACCTAGTCAAACCCTGAGTTGTCACTGGGCGTGTCAATTATGCTATCGGGTTGAAATTGATAATAATCGATTTAAGGTTGATAAATTCTAAACGGATTATTTAAACATATGACTCTAATGGGCAAATATGTGGCAAATTTTCCTGCAAAAAGTTTATAGTTCTATGGATAGACCAAAAGTTAAAATGATCATCCTTAACAGTTACCAACTAGGGACGGGAATACTTCCATTTTACTCTGGTATCAATTGGCTAAACCCACCCTAGCATGACCATCAAAATCAGTTATGTAATATCTGATACTCAACTAGATCTAATAACCTAGTAAGTTAACGACATTTTGTCACATTATAAATTTTTATTGTGTAAAAAAAGAAAAAGCCAATATTCAGTGAACTTTATTATCTAGGAGGTCAATCATTTTACAAAGAGCAATAAATATTGAAAATGTGAATCGTCTCTAATTAGTTTAGCGGGTTAAAACTGGGGATGGGGTTTCATGCGTCGTATGATCGTGATTTCATGCGCATTTTAAAGTTTTACATATATAGAAAAATTAAATGTGAAGTAAGGAAAGACTAGAGGTCGGATATTCATGCTTGGAAATAGATATTCATTAAATATCCAATATTCGGTTACACAAAATTCATGGATAGTCAAGGGTTTGTAATTGATATAATTGATTCGTTTATATTCGCGCGTGAATATTCATGGTTACAATAATACAGTAATAGATGGATATCCGTTCAAAATCAGGATATTCAAAGGATCCAACCTCTAGGAAAGACCAGTTTAATTCAGTAGTTACATCACCTCCCTATCCTCTGTAGGGATGTGTTACATAAATTACAATTTTACGTTACATGTAATTTTACGTAAGTTTCAGAAAACCAAATTTCATGTA